GTCGTCCGGCCGGTTCTGGGCCTGGCTGGACCGGGAGGAGTTCCTGCTGCCCAAGAACGTGCTGGACATCGTGGAGGGACAGACGGTCACCTGGATGGGCCTCTTCTACTGCCCCCTGCTGCCCCTGCTTAACAGCATCTTCGTCTTCCTCACCTTCTACATCAAGAAGGTGAGGGCTCAGGGGCTGGGAGGGAGCAGGGCCGCACCTGTGTGGGCACCTCGAGCGCCATCAGCAGGGCTCAGCTCAGGGGCTGGGAGGGAGCAGGGCCGCACCTGTGTGGGCACCTCGAGCGCCATCAGCAGAGCAGCCCTCACCTCCTGCTGCTGCCCCGCCGGGCACCTCCCATCTGCACACTGTGCTGAGGCCCCTGTGTCCTTGCTCGCTCCCTAGTACACCCTGCTGAGGAACTCCAGGGCGTCCCCTCGGCCATTCCGCGCCTCCAGCTCCATCTTCTTCTTCCAGCTGGTGCTCATCCTGGGCCTGCTCCTGGCCGCTGTGCCCCTGGGCTATGTGGTCAGCAGGTGAGGGGAGCAGAGGGGCAGAGGCTGCGGGGCCGGCAGCTCGTCACCCGAGCGCTGACACCGGCCCTCCTCTGGCGGTCTCTCCCCAGCATCCGCTCCTCCTGGGACTGTGGCCTCTTCACCAACTACTCAGCCCCCTGGCAGGTGGTCCCAGAGCTGGTGGCCCTCCGGCTCCCACCCCCTAGCCAGCGCATCCTCCACTACCTGGGCTCCCACGCCTTCAGCTTCCCCCTCCTCATCCTGCTCAGGTGCCTTTCAGGGCAGCAGGGGCCGAGGGAGGGGGTACCCCCAGCCAGTCTCATGGGATCTGGGGGCCAGACAAGGAGAGCCCGAGGTCGCAGGGAGCCAGGGGCCCAAGGGCAGGTGGCCTGGGGGTTGCCCTGTGCCCCTGGGCAGCCCCTGAAGGCCCTCACCTGTAAAGCGGGCACTTTAAGTGACCACTGGGGAAGCACGTTGCCTGGTGCAAACACGCTGTGAGCCTGCGCGCTTGTTCTTACTGCCATTTAGAGAGGAGCTGAGCGACCAGCGGGAGGAAGGAGAGGAGAGAGAACGCGGCGTCTAGGAACCCGGAAGAGAGAGGACCCCGGGAGGTGGTTTTTAAGAGACTGGGGTGGGGAAGGAGGAAGTAGGGGGCTGACTGACCTAGCGTCCCCGTCTATCCAAAGCCTTGTCCTGACCGTGTGCGTCTCCCAGTCCCAGGCCAGCGCGAGGGCCATCCGGGGGCTCCGGAAGCAACTGGTGTGGGTGAGTGTCCGCCGGACTGGGGAGGGGTCACGGACTCTGGGCCAGACCCTGTCGGGAGTGTGCCCTCAGGCCGCGGATAAAAGCGGGGAAGGTGGAGGGAGGGAACCGGTGCCTCCGGCCGGGAACCAGTCAACAGGAATGTGGCTTTAGGCTTGGGGACCCGGTTTAATGGGAGTGTGGGCTTGGGCTGAAGTAGGAGATGAAACTGGTGGGGGCGTGGTCTCTGGCCAGGCTGGGGCGGGACCTGGTGGGGCGTGGCCTTGGGCTGGGGCGGGATCGGGAGGGGCGTGGTCTCTGGCCCGGCGGGGCGGGGCTAGGGGTAGGGCGGGAGATTGGTGGG